CAAAGACAGAAGTGATTTGTTTGAAATTAAGTTACTATTACCTGCATGACTCATTCAATTTCCATAGGGATTTATTAACTGGACAAACATGGGTTCGGTTAAAAGGGAAATAAACATTTGTACAATACCGTCTTTTTCTTGAGAGGGAGCACTTCATAGACGTTGGGAAATAGTAAAGGGAAAAAAGATCATGTCAGCACAGTATCGTCGGTCATATACAACACAATCTTATATTTCACTGAGTTTTCAACACAGGAAATGGGTATATTAGAAACTGCCTAATTCACAGGTTTTTCTGAGTCAGCTACAGTGGTTTCTTTGAATGGCTCTGAAGGAACAAGCTGTAACCAGTGCTCTTACACCAGCTTCAATAATACACATTTCAAAGCCAAAAAGGCCCCACTATCTTAACTGTTTACACAGCCAACATTCTCTGGGAAAAAAACAACCAACAAGTTCCATTCTACTTCACATGAATTTCATCCGATCTCCTGGTTGTAGTCCTCATAGCACTGAAGACAGGAAGGACGGTCTTATTTTTGTTTTCTCCATTCAGTGGAATCAGAGAGAGGGAAATCCTTAGTTTACCAATGTTCTTGTTTTCCCTGAAGAGATTCCACCGACTTACTTGAAGCACCTAAGCACTTTTAATGCTCACACTGAAGTCCGCAAGAACATATCTTTAACTTGTTCTGATCCAGCTAAAATCTAAAACCACGCTGACAGGGTATCTGTTTTTTCAGATGCATCGTTGCAGTAGCATTCCTCTCTGCTCTGCCAACGCAAACCTCCCCCCAGGAGGTCAGGCTCAAGGTATTCACACAATAACTGTGAGACTTGCTCTGAGACACAAAAATAAGTTCCTAAGTATTGCATAATTTCTTAAGGCTTTTTAAAAAAACAACTATGACATACACTGGGCTCTTTATCACCTTGAATCAACAAGAAATATTTAATACATACCAGGGTACAGGTGAGAGCTGGATAGGGTAAACATGCACCTGTGTAAAGAAGCAAAGATCTATCTGCCTGCAGAATATGCCTGATGATAAGACTTACCGTGGATTTCAGGTGAATTGTTATTTATGTAAGTACTTTTGAAATCCAGCACTAGGGAATTGTTACCTTATCCCCCACCCCCTTGTTCCTTTTTTTAAAACTATCTTGTACCGCATGCTTCTTATTTCTCTTATAAGCTTTTCTAGATCAAGTGTTTTCATGGAATTGGTTAACAAACAAGCGCATGCAACACTTGTGTCAAGACAGGCTCATTCGAGAAAATTATCCTCCCATATCAAAATAACGTATAGATGACCTGCAAGTCTGATACAATACAGTGAGGAAATAGGAACCTCAGCTAAAGAAGCCACACAAGTGACCAAGCACAGCTAAGTTTTTTTTCCAGGCACAGACCTTAGCAGTTTGGGAGATCAGATGTTTTGCCAGACATTTTACCTTAGATTTTTTTGCAAATAGGATAGGCTGACTACTAACAAGGAGCTTGCCTTTTGCACAGAGGTGGGGCCATACCCAGAGAAGACAAACAGAGTTGGGGGGGGGTGGATTCTAAAGTTTTGGAAACACCAGCAGAGCTCCAGCCAAGACCATACAAATTAGACGACTGAGACGGCTCACTGTGTCAGGAACTAGTCTCCTAGATCTAATGTTGCTGTCATGGCGACATACAGGAAAAGTGCTGCTAACCCGAATTAAAGGGCTGAGCCTTGGAGAGAATGCTAAAGCAAAATAAGTATTACTAAAAGTTTCTTCAAGTTTCTGTTTCTGAAAAGTTCTTTTCAGTGCCTTTTTAACCCTTATTTCTTCTTTAGCAACCCTCAAGTCTGGCTCTAGAGCTGGTAACCCCAGTTAAGTAAGTCCAAGGATTTAATGAAATTGTTTATTAATTCAAAGACAAGTCACTGTTGTCAGCTGGTCCCACTCAAGGGAGTATGGGAATTCATTTGATGACCCCTTGCTATCTCTCTCATTTTCATTAGGCCAACTTCTGTGTCTTGGAAGCAAACTCCACGACTTGCGCAGCTTTAATCTCAAGAGGAGGAGCAGGTCTTAGATTACCATGCACTGAACGGAGGAGCACAGAAATCATTTGTCCCAGCTCCTGAAGGGAGACAATGCCGGAACATCAGCACCGCTTGGCAGCAGTTTTAGCTTTGCAAAGAGTCAGTCTTTCCTTTGGGTAGATTGACCCCCAAAAAAAACAACGTAATTGTGTAAAGCCCGAGATACGTTACAGGTGGTACGGCCAAGATCAAAAGAAACATGCTTACATAAGGGAATACCTTTCCTCTGTTGGTTAATTAAGTACGCAATAGTAAAAAGAAGCGTCTCTTGTGTGCATTTGCGATTGTAGGCAACAAGGTCATGTTCTGAATCACTATTTGTAATGCATTCCCACACTGAAGTGGATTAAGAAAACATCATGGGATCTCCTGTACACCAAACTGCAGGAGAGTCAGAGTTGAAGCTGAAATTCCCCACTTCATTATATCTAGTTATGTCCTGAATAGCTTGAAATAATATTTGCTGTTCCAAAAACTTTTGATACATAACCAGAGGCTGTTTGGGGGGCCTAGAAATCATATCACTACAGCAGGCCTGGGAACTGAGACCAGCTGTCTACATTTTGATAGGACTCTCCTCACGTCTGCCCTTTTTTTTTTTTTTTTTAGGCTAGCCCATAATTTATCTACCTTTGCGTTTTCAAGCCCCTTATGTACCTCACCAAGTAGAGTGCTAAAACCTTACAAGTGCTCTCTTGAATCCAAGCTCCATTTAAGATAGCCATAGTGACTCTGACCTCCTTGTGCCAATGTTCTCTGCAGTGCAAGCATAATAAAGCCTACGCAACACAGGAGCAGAAAAGAAAAACAAACTAGCCCCAGGACGGTCAGACATGCTTTAAAACACCAGAAAAAAAAAAACAGCCTTTGAAGGTATAATATGGGGAAATGGGACCGAAACACCTTTTTAAGTGTATAAACCTATTGTACCTTCTTCTGTCCAGATTTTTCAGTGTTCAGTTTTGCCCAAGGTGGAAAATCTCTAACGGAAGCTTCCAGGAGTTCCCTGGCTGTGCTAGGTTCAATTTCAGGTGCTCAGTGAACGTTACTGTGCTGTTCCCTCCAACACGTTCACCCTGGGAAGCCTAACACTGACCGCAACTTTCCAGTTAGGCCCTTAGGCCCTCTATGCTCTAAGAAAAGCACGTTTCATTTCCCACCCCCAGACTGACACAGCACCCTGTCAACACAGTGAGGAACAGAGGTTTTCCTCCTCCTGGGCTACACTCTAGGCTTCTCGGAGTCAACCAGCAGGGAGGTCTCAGCTGCTCCTAGGTGCTGGGCTCAGCCCTACTCCCTTTACATAAGGCCAGACAGCTCTGCTGCTACAAACTGAGTCTTATCTGAAAGGTGTTCTGTTTAACTCAGTAGTGTCACCCTCTGTAAAATTAAGAAATTACAGTTTCTTTATAGGGTGCTCTGAGAACTACAGTCAGAAAGTGAAATACAATAGTAAGGTGCTATAATTAACAGTTGCAGTTTTATAAAAGCTATGGTAACTATCTGAAGCATGTCACAGATTGCTTCCATTTTCCAGCCTAAATCATCATGCCTTTTTGGAATCTTCCAGCCTGTCTTGTTTCTGCCAGACATTTAACCTTTTGCATCATCTTTCTCCCATAGAAATCCCTAAATATCCTAAGACACACAGTTCCCAGCGCAGCCGGCTGAAATGACAAGGTGTTTGAGGCTTCAGGAGAAAGCTTGCTCTCATGTTTTGGAATCAGATTTCAGGCAGCATTTCCTCTGCAAATTCTGGAAGTTAATTAGATAGCCATAAAAGAACAAATATTGATCCTGGAATTATACGGGGGAGGGAGGCGAGTTACTGCTTTACTTCAATTATGAGAAATGAAGGAAATCAAAAATCGTTAGTGTACACCTGATCAGCTTCCAAGCAAACAGAACAAGACAATAAGATCGCAATGCCTTTGGACTTCCAGAAGCTTATTGCTTTTGCAATCTTTTTTTTCCCCGGATGAGAGGGAATCTAACCCAGACAGAAACCCCGACTCCTGCTATCCCATTAAGGCAAGAAACAACACTGTTTTACTCTGTACACAGCAGTAAGACCAGCATGACTGCTTCTGACTCTTTCTCAATCATGTTATGAAGTTTAAATGGAAGCAAACTGAGCTGAACGCATGCAGTGCAAAACTCCTTCCTTGTATAGCATGCAGGCACAAGCTCTTCCCTGTGTGAGGCCAAAGCTGTTAAGAAGTCTAGGCTACAGGTCCATCTTCCCTTTAAATGTACAGATACTGAGGTAGGTGATATTTACAAGTGGTATTGTCAACTTCAGCAATGCCACCCCCAGAGCATGCCTACCTAACTGTGGAGAAATGAAGGACAAAGCAGGGAAAGATTCCCAAATAGCCCCTGCCAGCACTAACATGGGAAATTAAAACACCGGTTAGCAAAGTACACAGACAACTTTGTTAGCTCTGTATGAGCCAGCTGAGTCAGGAGGCATGCAGCCACGTTCATAAGCCTTTCCTACATTAGAACCAACACCTCAGGCACCCTTACACAAAACTCAGTAGTGCAATTTCTATACCATGAATGTTAATACGTTTCAAAGCTACATCTTCCTCTACTTAAAGTCCACACAGGAATGAATTATGGAAGACAGAAACCCACAAGTTTTTGTGAAACCAAGACGTACTTCACTGCATGTTCTTCTCTTGCATCCTTCACTCTGTCACTTACCTGTTTGTGAATTTTTAGGCAGCTTTTTCAATTATTTTGCTTTTAAATAAATTAACATCAATAAGTCTCCAGGTTTCAGGGAATCTCTCCTAAATCAATCTTTTAAAAAAATTCCACACAAATCTTTCATGTAAAAAAACTTATTTTTTCCCAATTCAGACAGATTCGTTTTTAAGCTATTAAGACAACCATAATCTCACAGGTACTCACAGACATTCTTCCAGTACAATTGGCTTCCTCTCTTTCTGCCAGTGCCCGCAAAAAGTTATCTTTCAGTTCTTTTCCTGCACTTGTAAGTGACCTAGAAAACAATGATACACAGTTTCAACTGTTATCAATTATTGCAGACTTAAGGTTCACTGTCCTGCTGAGTGTTCTGTAAATATAATGAGATAGTCTTTACCCTAACGTAGTTAATTCATCTATTGCCCACTCTGATTTTACATTCTCACTGCAGTAACAATACATTTCATATACCTAAAACATTCTTCAAAAGTAAACACTATTCCAGATGCACTATATACAGTCATTTATAAAAAGCTGACCTCCACTTAACATATATTTTCAATTATATATCAAGACTAATCAAGGTACTTACTTTACAACTACAGAATTATGTCCAAAGTCACGGTTAGGCAAGAATACCAAACTTTCACAGTGGACAAATATAAACTTAAGCCAGAAAATATAAACTTAAGCCCTTAACTTATCAAATGAACTACTACATTCTTAGACTGTTGGGTGTGGTAGGGTCAGTATACTTTCTGTATAAAGCATGAAAAGACACCCCAATTCGTGAGTCCTCCACGAAAACGGGCAAGAAGTATTGCAAGAAAGGATACCGAACTCTAAAAATTAAACCTTGACCTTTGAACATGGTACCCTAGAACTCAAACAGTAATTAAAATAGAAAACACACATCAGGTGGACAAAAGCATCGAATCTTTGACAGAGCTCACCAAAAATGTCATCCTTTAAAATGGTTCCTACTAGTTTCTTGGGCCTAATATCCAAAGCCCTTCTGCATCTACGGGAGTCAGATACAGATATAGGAGTCACTCCCTACAGTATGCTTTGCATGTGCAAGAAGGAAGCTGACACTTCTGAGATCCTGCACAAGTGCAGCGGCAGTGCGACTTTTCCTCCTTTCAACGTTTAAAGCAGTGAACGCTTGTTGGAATGCTCTCTCTTAGGCAACCAAAGGCAAAACGGTGCCTCTCGGTGCAGCACAGATCTACCTGAAAAGGGAAGCATTAAAACCTCCTCCCCACTATCTTGACGTGAATATTTCAATAAAAAGGAGCAGCATCTGTCAACCTAAGTAGATCAAGCACAATATCAAGAAAAAACTGTGTATCAAATATATACTGCAAGAAATCTCAAATAAAAGAATGCCTTGAAAACCGAAAAACTCCTCCTGGTAAATTTTTGAATGTAGAAGTGCTTGGTAATGTTTTTCAACTGTATTGAGTGAAAAGCAGGCATCTAAGCTTCAGAAGTCTGATGTAAAGCAGTCAGGTCAATCTCTGGCTACTTTAGCAGCTGTTATCCAGAAGTTCATTAATTAGAAGCTGTTTCAGATGTGCATCTGCTTCACAGTAATAATAAAAAAACAGAAGACTACCATATGGATTAAAACACCTCAATTAATTAGATGTAAAAGAAGAATAAGAAGTGGAGTATCAACTTTTCTTCTTCCTGTCCAGTTAGGAATTCCAGATTACCAGACTCTATCTGGCAGGTTTTAATATTAAATCCATAGCAATGCTAAATCTATGTTTAACAACTGTTTCGTCCGACTTAGCTTGAAGTTTGCGCCTCCTATTTCAGACCCAAAGAAGGATTTGGTGCTTGAAATACTGTATGTTTTTATCCACCTAAATCTGATGGTCTAGTAAGAAACATCACCTTTCCTTTAAAAATTTGCCTTACTCTCATCCCTCAGTCACCAACGCAATTCTACCAACATCTTGTATTTAATATGCCTGAACCACTTTCACAGCACTAACATATATAGAGCTTTTTCTTTTTTAATAAAAGTATCCAAGAACATTGTTACTTCATTAAGATCGCACTGATTCATGCCTGAAATCAAGCTGCAGTATTTCAGAAAAATATGAAGATGTCATTGGCCACCCTCCTCCGTGTCAAAAATTGTGGAGTGTTCTAGCGGTGAAATATCACGGGCACATCAGAGCCTTAAGGTAAGTAGCTTTTTGCAATCCTTAAGAGAATTCCCACGGGACATTGTCATGACTTATTTGTTAACTAACCGTGTTGATTCCTTGGGGTCTATTCAGTAAGCCTAACTCTGAAAGATATTAGATATGAAGAAAAATCTTCTTACATATATGTATTTTCTACACTGTCCTCAATTTGACGGTCTCCACTTGCTCTGTGCAAGATGTTTCAATATCTACAAAAGGAAAAAAAAGCTCTTGTCTGAATTTTACTAAAAAAATTTTATCTTACTATATCCCATAAGAAAAACAATCAATAATAATAATACAACTGAATAAAACATAGGAAACGTAAGAGAGTATGGCTGATCTCATAGTGTCACAGCACCAAGATCATTCGGAACAGAGCTTGGTATTAACTGGCTGCTTTTTGTAATAAAGAGGGGTGGAAAAGAAGGCCAAAAAAAATTCAGACTATATGTCGTATCCGAGAAATGCATCAAACATTGGTTCATTTGGCATAGCTCTGGAGACATATTTTTAGAAATTAATCAGTATCATTTGACCCTCATTACAAAGTCATAATGGCCTCAAAACATACAACAACGGTCATGGACCAATGAATACAGAAACAATGCATCAGATGTGTCCTCTGTACGGCACTCTTACCCCCATTGAAATCTCCCATCTTTAAAGATATACATCTAATCTAAAACTCCAGAATCTTGGAGCATCTTCCGGTATCTAAGCAAACATTAATCTTTTCTGAGGTAGAAACAAACAGCTACTTAGTACACTTTCCACTTCTATTAACTGGCAACAATTCACTCCTTTATTTCCTGCATGCATTTGTTCCTTTGACTCTTAGTCTTTTTCACTTCTTTGCCCCTTAGGATGTGCATCCTTCACCTCACTACCCCAGCTCTGAACTGTTCCAGCTCTCAGTTTTGTCTCTCTTCTAGGGGCTTGTCCACACAAGAAAATTTCACCCGTTTACCTTAAGGGAGGTTTTAAACTAACGTATTTAAAATGGTACAAAAGGTTGCGTGAATATTGTTAAGATTCAAATCAGGCTCATGTCAGAGTCAAACATAAATCAATCAGGGATTGATTTGACTTAAATGAACTGTGCACAAGGAACTGTGGGCTTCTGTAGATAAAAGTTTGCATTGAACTGGTTCAAAAATCACTTTGACTTAAATAAACTGTACATAAAGAATTGCAAGCTTCTGTAGATGTAAGTTTGCACTGAACTGGTTTAAACAACGGATTAAGTTCCAATTACATAAGGTTCTCATGTCAACAGAGCCTTTCACTCACTCAGAACATGCAGTATTTATAGGAACATTAGGTGCATATTTGTCACTAGGCATTCTTGGAGATGCAGCAGCTCACACACTCTTAGCTCACTAGTTCACCATCACAGCACAAGACTGAGAAGAAAAGATCAAGGCGTTCCACCCTCTGAAAGTTCCCCCACGCATAAACAGGCTGAAATTTCAGGGTGTGACTAGTTAGGAATCCATAAAGGCTACGTAAATGTTTGTTCCATCTTCCTGCCAGACAAGACGAGGGAGCTCTCCGAGCAGGGAGCAGCAGCAAGGAATTCTCTAGCACCCACTGAACGTGACTCCTATCTAACAAGGGTTATCTAACTTGCAGTGAGCTGACAAGTGTTGTTTAAATAAATACAAAAAAGAAGTCAATTCCTCAAAACCCCGGATCAAGTTCTTCACGAACCAGAGGGCTGCAAATTACATACCAGTATACAGAACATGCTAAAGATGCTTTTGCTTTCTCAAACTAACTTGCAGCCCTTGAAAAGGAGAGCAGAGAATGTTTAATTGTTAGCATTAAGTTATGCATCTCTGTAGCATCACATACGTGACCACAACATTAAATAAGCTTAGCATGCACTGACTGAAACTATTCCTACCATTCAGTTCATGCTTCAGCATACTTGCTGAAGGTTTCAGAGCGAAACCCCTTTTACCTTTGTCGTGATTATTACAAGAGTTGACTATTAGATACCTACATATAATTGCTTTTACCAAGGTTTTGACTGAATAGCAATATCCAGCTTAGTACTGTGCTAAACAAGTATTTGCTTGTTTGCGTCCTGATGTTGTGCTCTACTAAGTAAAGTCTGTTGAGACTGTAATACTCCCCACTGATTTCAGCCAGCCAGCGCTCATGGTAGTCAACACAAAGGTTCGCTAATTCCAGATCAAGGACCAAGCTTATCGTAGGTCTGCAGAGGACTTCTCACCCCATCTGGTTCAACTCTGAAGTGACACCACAATCCTGCCACCAGCATCTTCTTTCTCTTCTACCTTTACATGGCACTTATAAACAAAGGACAATTGCAGTCACCTGAGCACAGCTCTTAATTGCTCTTCTAAGTGAAGATTTTTTAGTTATTAACTGCACCACATGGCTAGTGACCCACATCAGCAGTAGGGTATTACTATGCTAGGTGCTGTACAAACTTCCTGTCCTGGGGAGCTTAGAAACCAACCAGCTGGACACACTAAAGACTGATGGAAAAAGCAAAAAACAGGCAAAAGTTCTTATTCTCAGTTTTCAAATGGGAATCTGAGACAAACAGAGATTAATAACTTATCCAAAGATAACACAGAATATCTCTCCAAACATGTTACTACTGTTAGTAACCAGATGCCAACTGTTCTGTATCTAGTTCTTGTATTACATATAATTTCTATATTAACTTCCCTCCTTCTAAGGAAACGCCTTACCTATACAGGAAGAGAAAGCATGAAGAATGAGTCATATTCCTCACTGCAAAGTCCTTCAACAGAACTACTGCTGAAAATAAATACTACAGTTTAGGGAGGGGGAAAAAAAAGCATATTTTTCTAAAGAAACTTATTTGGGTGCAGAAACTCCCAGTGATGTTAATGGTATTAATTGTTGGCTGCTGTTGCTAATTCCGTAAGTATTATTTCTTATTTTATGATGCTCACGGTTTCTCTTTTGAAACCATGAATTTCCATGCTATCTTGTTCCTTCCAAGCCCCTCTTTTCCTCCTGAGAGCTGCCAGTATCTTCAAGTACCCCCCACACCTTCTCAGGTTTCCAGTCCAGACACCTCTAACTGTGTGCTCCTGCAGCTTCACTGCTGCATGCTAGTGCAGCAAAAAGAATGAAGACTCTTACTGAACTTGGGTTGGGGCTCCTTGATTCTTATTTTGATAAGCTAAACTGCTTTTTCATGTTATTATGGTTCCCTAGGGTATCATTTACTTTATTTTTTTACATCGTCTACCATGTGGCCTTTTCCTGAGCGCACTGGAGTCACAGTTGGAAACAGAACAATGTAGTTGAACTTTTAGAGAGCCCTGCTGACCTGAAGAATGCTTTTTATCAAACTGAGATAATGGGAAGAACATCTAACAGTCCCACTGTTGTTCTTTCAAAAGTAAACTCTATGTTCCAGTTGAGCAGAAACTGACTGGAATGCACATTCTCGCTTAACTTCTGCAAAGCAGCTGTGTTTTGCAAACACCTGCCCCAGGATTAGTTCGGAGACAGGCGTAAGAACTCAGTCCCAAAGTTTCTCCCTCATCTTGAAACACATATTTTTTCTTTTAAAACATTTGAAGTATAAACCTCCCAGTGCCATGCGCTTGCAGCATTGTGTCCTGAGGCAGGACTACAACTTGAACACTGTTCAAGA